CTCCGCAATAAGTTTAAATGGTAATACGGATTACGAAAACCTACAGGTATAAATCAACAACACTTCTAAATACAGTAAAATTAAAATGCATTAAGCATTTATTAAAGTGTATTCCACTGCGTGTCCTAATTTCCCGCCCATAAAACCCTATGACCATCGTTTTCGTAGGAAAACATGCAGGTTGTAGGAACTAATGAGTGGGGCTACATAAGCTACCATTGCCACCTCAAGCTTTAACGATGCACAGTCTAGGATGTCGCGGGTGAACGAAGTCGCTAAATCGGTCGGTTTGTCCATAAACGCTTGGAAGACCAAAGTGCTCTCATGTTGCATCCATCTCCAAGAGGAAGCACCTCTCGAAATTAGTGGCTGCCAACTTGAAGAAGTAGACAGTTTCGAGTACCTCAGAGCGAGGTTGCTGCCGAATGGACAGAGTAAGGATGAGATTGTCTCCCGAATTGACGAAGCCCAGCGAGTTTTCTCTAGCCTTCGAAAGTACCTATGGACCCAACGCAATATTTCTATCTCCACAAAGGTCCGCATGTATCGTGCATGTGCGCGGTCTGTTCTTCTATACGGTTGCGAATGCTGAGCTATACGCGTGGAAGATGAAAGGAAATTGGAGGTATTTTACCGCTAGGGCTTGAGAACAATCCTTCGAGCGAAGTACATTGAGTTTTTTTCGAATGAGACTGTCCGCACTCACTGCGACAACATCGCAAGGATATCCCAGGGCATCCAAGAAAGAAGACTGAGCTGACTTTTACAAGTGCTTCGTCGTTAACCTCAGGAACTCAGTGTTACTACCCTCAACCTTAATTGGAAACGTCGACGTGGGCGTCAGCTCAAAACTTGGCTTGACACAGTCTGTAAGGACATGGAAGTGGTTCTTGGAATTTCGGCATTCAGTCTCCAGCACTGGCGAAGGGAATGTATTGGACTGTCCAGGTCGGCTGCCACGGATGGTCGCGCGTGTAGAAGTACCGTCCGGGACATTATCGAGGTTGGCTAGATCAGTTATGATTGCAGCCGCAACCAGTACAAGTAAGTACAGTAGTCGCCACAGGCCATGCAATTTTCATAACTTTGTATAAGAT